CAATTTTTATATGATATTTTGCTATAAATAATAAAGATTTAATAGAGATATTTTCTTTTTTTTTACATTCAAATTCCTTTTTTCATTAAGATTTACTTATTATATTTAGAAGAAATTTAATCTTATTTTAAATAAAAAATAAAAAATATAATTCAAAAATAGAACTGTAATTCTATTTTCGTTTCATTTTATGTAATGTAAAATTAAATTGTTTATAATTTAATAAATTAAACCTTATCGAACATTTTTGTATATCAATTTTTGTTTAGTTTCCATAATTACTATCAAATTTTCTATTTTATTTCATTTCAAACATAGATTCATATTCTTTATATGTATTATATTTTTATCAAATATATAATACATTTATATATTTTTAAAAATTGTCAAATCAATGAAATCAATATAGAATATGTGACTAGAATCACAATTATAATTTTTTTTATTGAATTTTTTATTTTTTTGATCTGAAAATGATCATAATGCGGCAGGACTAACACGTGAATGTGTGTTAGGTGGTGATACAGGACTTCCGTGAATTTCTAAATCGAATTCAGAATTAGATAAACTACTTCTCATAACTCTATTCCATCGATTTGCATTTTCGTTTAATCTAATTAACTGTTGATTTGCATCTAAATCAGTAGATCGTTCACAAGCACGAAGTGTTTCTTGTTGAATAATTATTTCATTAGTTATATATGCTTCACGTCGAATTTTATCCCTTAACTTCGGATTCATATCAGGAATACACCATCGCACTAATATCATTACAAGAGCAACAATATTCTGGAAAATATTGATTTTATTAATAATCAAATTAAAATTTTTGATTTAAATTAATTTCAATAATAATAATACCTCAAAAACAACAATGAAAGCTAATCTTGCCGCAAGTACATGCCAAAACATAATAGTATATTGATATTTATTTGATGAATCGGGTGGTTCCCTATAATCTGGATATCTACATATTTCAACTTGCTGAGTAGATGTTGAAAATGGTTCAGTACCGTTTTTTAAATCACTTGTATTAAACTTTGAAAGAGAATGGTCTAGAAATCCTTCTAGAGAATAATTATCAGAGACAATTATTCGATAAACTAATCTAGGTATAAAATTCGAAGTAAAAGCTATAATGAATGCCTAAAAAATTTCAATTATAAATATATCAAAAATTGTTTTTATATAAGATATTTTTTATAAGAAATCTTCAATTATTAGAACTTACATTAGTTATAACAGATAATTTAGAAATGGAATCTAAAATACGGTACCATATGCCTATATCAGTAACACGTTGTCCAACTGGTCTTCTATACATTGTTAACAATTTTTTCGCATCTAATCGCATTTCAAAAACATTATTCAGTAATGCAAAAAATGGTGCTAATGGAAATGCAGCGACGAAGATAGTAACAAACCCATATTGTAATACTGTAATATAATATAAAATAAAATATTAAGATTTAAATATATTTAATTATATGATTTAATTTATTTCAATAAATTTAATACCAATACCCATTTCTAAATACTCAGGAAATAAACTTCTTGGACCCCATTCCACTAACTTATAATCCTTAATCCATTGGAGATATTTTCTAGTAGTAATTTTTCTTTGTCCATCTTCTGTTGTCATTCCAACATGTACTTTTAAAGTATTTAACCATTTGTAAAATAATGGAAACAACATTTCTAATATCGTATTCATGGCCTGTTTGCCAATCATAATAATGCTTAACTGTATACATAATTCCATAAGACAACCACCAGGACCACATTCTTCTTGTCGATAATGAAAGAAGCGATTATAATTTCCAGGATAACCAACGAACTTTCCTTTAAAAAATGCTATATAAAATATGGAAGCATAATAGTTAACAAATTCGAGTAGATATATTTTTAATGTTAAACTATCATCAAATTCAGTTTGGGTTCGAAGTAATTCGATCTATAAAAATAAAAATATATATTATAAAAAAAATTAATAATAATATATTATGAATAAAAATATATTGTTATTATGATATAAAATACCTCTGTTAAATATTCAGCTAACCAAACATAAACCCAATTAAATATTATAATGCAACACAAATTAATACTAGCAGCAGTAGCTGTAGTAAATAATATTGCATAACTTGTTACCATAGGATGTCCATAAACACTTAAAGCAGTCAAAACAGACATTCTATATAAAACGACACCTAAGACAGCAGCCATTGCTATTGCAATCTAAAATAAATGTAAAATAAATGTAATGCAATGTAAAATAAATAGAAATAAATTTAATAATTTTAATTTTTTCCTAATTTTTACAAACCAGCAGTAAAACGACGGAGAAACTGAGAATTGTAGCAGGAACTCTCATCTTCCAAAAGGGAACTTTCGGTTCTTCTGTATTTGTGATAATATTGAGCGATTTTTTTTTTATATGTGCTAAACGTGCTAAGTACTGAGGACGAGGATGTTCCTCTTGAGCATCCAAACCAGTTAAATCCCATTTATGAGTAATTTCTGCTGAATATCTTTTCCATAATTCCAAAAACAATGTAGCTAATAATAAAAAAAATTGTAAAATATATATTATATATTTTATACAACAAATTTAT